CCTGATCAGCTAAGCACAGAAAAGCGCTTCTAGCTGCAATGCAGAAATCATGGCTGGGATTGCATCCTCTGAACTCTGTCTTGCAATCTGGTACAAGAAGACTTCTCCTTCTGTAAGTACCCCTACAGTGATAGCACCCAAGCTTTCCCCCAGCACAGCTGCTTCTGTGGGCCATAGAGGTGGCTTCCATCCCAGAAGAACGTTTAAATTGGAGATTAGGACCCAGAAGGCTGAAATTCAAAACTATTTCCCAACATTTTTTGCAGACTTCCAGTTAATTTCAGTTAGTAAACATTTGACTGTTATCCATTTTGAAAGCTGCTTCTGCTGAAATCCACAACACACAGTTAATGTCTCAGGCAGCCTATGCCTCAAGCACAGCTGAGAAGTACTCCAGGGAAGCATAAGCGCTCAGATGGGAATGGGTACTTGATAACAAATTTGGGCAGAGTTAAAATATAAGCACAAGTTCCAGCTGAGATTCTCTGTTCCTGTTCAAGAATCCCCTGTGCTGGTCACCCTTGCACTTTCCCATCATTATTTATCCTGATTGCTATTCAAAGGTCAGACTCCCTAATGCTCAGTTTCATGGCATTCATACAGAGCATTGATGTCCTTCAGCAATCGCTCAGATTTAAGGAGTTTAGTTCAGTGGGTGGGTCTGACAAATCATAAGCCTCTGTGACACCGTAACAGGTGACATAACAATGAGTGACATAATAACTGGTCCTACCTGACTGAGTCAAGATCAGTGCTTCAGAAACATGCAATGCCCTGCAAGGGATTAGGATGTTGCAAATGGCACTACCAGACAGCAGGAGTTCAACAGGGTTGAATTTTGCACTAGTATTATAGTAGAGCAAGTACTCAAGAACAGATTAAGTTATATAATCTAGCTACAGCAGCAAGCTTTTATGCTCCTAGGCAGTTTTCCTTCCCAGAGGGTTAATACATGTGCATGAAGATTATGGGAAAAAAATAATGTACAGAGAAAAATCAATAGATGGAAGAAAAGTCAAGAGCAAAAGGTGGAAAAAAGGTGAACATAAAAGAGCTGTGCTCACCTTTTTGTGTGTAAGGCCAGGACCAGGCTTGGCTTTGATTTGTAACTTGCCTCCCCTTCAAACTGTTCTGCTTTTAGTTTTATACTCCTCACTAACTGTCTAATGAGGGTCAGAAGCAAATCAGCAAGCCCTGGCCTCTGCTGTGCAATTTGAAAAGGCTCCTGAGCACCTCTCAGCTGATATCAGAGCTTCCCTTTGAGGAGCAGACCAAGGAGGGGGACTTTGTTGTGAGGACCACCTCTCACCTGGATGTAGGTGCTGGCAGTCTTTCTTCCAGCTGAGACTCTCTGCTTGCTGGGGAGGTGGTAGCTGCAGGTCAGCAGGCTTGCTTGGATGAAGGTCAGAGCTCCCACAGGCAGAGGTGAGAGGGTCAGAAGCAGAGAGAGAGGAGCAAAGCTAAGTGAGTTGTTTAAAATCCTCAGAGTCACCTGTGGGACGTTGCTCTG